GCCGGCGCGGGCGCCGGGCCGCGCTCGCCGCTACCCGGCGCCGCCGCCGCCGCGCGCCCGAAATACTGCGAGCGCGACAACCGATCCGCGGCACGCGCTGGCTGCGTTTCCGCCCGCCGGCCGCCGCGGTACCGGGCGCCCCTCTGCACGGGCGCCCGCCGAGGGCTGGAGCTCGAACCGCGCCCGCAAGGCCGCGACCTCGGCGTGACGCAAGGGCTCTAAAATACGGGCTCAAAGGGCAGGGTGGCCGGCTTCGTATTTTTAGCAGGCTGCCGGGCGGCGAGCGGCGACACAGGCGCTCGGGTCGAGCCCGCGGGCCGTCCTCTCACCTAGGACGTTGGCGGCGGAAGCAGGTCGCGCGCGCAAGCAACACGCCCAGTAACCAGCGACGGCGCAGCAGTCGCGAGGGAGGCGCGCCGCCAGCGCGGCGCGGCCCATGGCGCTTGTGCTCCGCCCTTAATCAGCGCTGCTTTCCGCTGCTGCCTTGCGCTCGCCCTCCGCCTCCGCGCCCGCCCGCTCGCCGTCCGTTTCGCCGGCCCTCCGCGCCTCGCTTGCTGCCGCCGCCGCCTCCTCCCGCCTCCTGCTGCCCGGTCCGCGCTTCCGCCCAGCGCGCTTCCGCCAGCAGGTCGGACTAGGCGGCGGCTCCTCACCTCCCGCCGGGGCGCCCGCCGCCCCGCCCCGCTCCGCCCCGCTCCGCCCCTCGCCTCGCGCGCAGACGCCCCGGCGCCGCCGCGTGGGAGCCACCCACACCCGGGGTGGCGCCTCCTCCCTCTCCCGCACTCCCACGCAGCCACCGGAAGGGGAAGTGCTACAGGTGCTTCCGGAAGGGCCTCGTCCTGCGTGCCCTTCTCTTGGTCGTACCGCGCCCCTCCCCGCGCCGCCTTATAAGGGCGCGCTGCAAATAGCCCCCGCCCCGTTGACGTCGCGACCGAATTTATGTGGTTTCCCAGCTGGTGGTGAGCCTTCGGGTGGCGGACGAGATGCAGGTTATTGAGCAAATTGCTCTTTGCTCGGCTCAATCCGTCCAACGACGGGTTTTCGATATGAATTTTGAATTAAAGTACATTTCCCGATTTTATCTTTACATCTAGTATCCATTACGTCTTGGTCGAAACAATTTCGGCTGGTAATTTTCGTTCATTTGTTTCCGCCCTGTTGAACTTACTGTCATGTCTGGTCCCTTCGCTTCCGTACTTGGTTAATATGTGCAGATTCGTGTTGTGTATGGTTCAGGTTTTGATTTCCGTTCGTGGGCACTTAATGAAGAATATGTGTTCTGCTAGACGTGATCGCAGGAGAGTTTCTAAAAAAATTAAATCTCCCTCTCCATTCCCCTTATCCAATCTCTCCTACCTTATCTAACATTTTTAGTTGTGTTGCACGACAGCTTCATTAACTGTATCCCATCGTGCTTCCATCATAAAACTAAGTTACAATTGTGGCAGAGGTCCGATTTTCATTAAAAGTCTGGAATTTCTAAATTACAAAAACAATATATATATATATATATATATATATATATATATATATATATATATATAGTACGAAATGCAAAGAGAAGTGAAGCCAAAGCTGACAATATTACATCTTTTATATCAATAACATACGACATAGTATCTATTTAAGAATTATGATGGTAGCAGTGCTTCTGGTTCTGAGGAAACAGGCCCTAGATTCTCCGGAAACTGGCAGCACAATTCGCTTGTGTCGGCCGCGGCCCGTCTCACCTCCAACTACCTCCGAGGAACATTAGAAATGATCTCCTATAACATCAACCTTCTTTTAGCTAAGAGGAAAGAAACATATTTCGACTTACATTATTTTTTCTTCTTCGTATTCTCCATGTAACGAAAGTTACGTAATGCTACGGGAAAACTCTACTTATTGATAAAAATACGTTTTGTGGGACCATGAATTCGAAAATTGGATTTTTCATGTTCGTATACGCCCTATTTTCTTTTTCGTGTTCATGTCGGGAAGGTCCTAAATTATTGTAGCTACTGTTGAGTTAACTAAACACTTATTGAAAAAATGAGTATGAAATGATTTACAGATCTAATATTCGCCTACAGAATGCAAAAGAAAAGGAAATCTAGCTCCAGTATTGAAGTTTTAAAACACATTCGAAAAATTCGAGGGTTGGAGCATAAGTCTTCGGCACCTTTTTTGTGTGAGAATTGGAACAAGGGTGGAAAGTGTGGAATATGAACATGAAAGGACGAGAATTAAGTGCATTTAACATTTAACGGCACATGAAAATAGTTTCTCATATTGATAAAGGTATTTCATATGTCAGTATGGGTTTCATGTTCCAAAGCATTTTGGCATACACTAGTTCACAACATTCCAGATGCATTACATACCCCTCTTAAAGACCCGATTAAGCAGATGCTTGATTACCGCACGTGCCACATTGGTCCACGCAGTCACTAGAAACGTTCCCGCTCTCAGGTTGCTATGCGTCCTCGCAGAAACTCTTCTGCCCTTCTCGCGACTGTCCGGTGTGGAAGGGCGTTATTCCCAAGAGGTTCCGCCAATTCCCTGTGACATGTCGGGCATGTATGCCATGAAGAACAGCTGCCTTGTGTGTGAGCGCTACTCAAAACTGGTTACATTTATCTCGCTAGGCGGCAGTCAGACAGCTGATTTCACATGACACTCTGCGCTAAAGACACTCTTGTGAGCACACATTAGTACAGCATTTCTTTCACGCGACAAATAAAATTGTGTGATCCGATAACATTTATTTTACAACAACAACAACAACAACAATAATAATAATAATAATAATAATAATAATAATAATAATAATAATAAAAATAAAAATACTAGGACTTCTGCCCCAACCCTCGCAATTGGCTTTGTAATTTCGAAATTCCAGACTTTAAATGAAAATCAGGCCTATGCCACAATATTAAATGTCCTCAATTGGAGCAAAAATTTAAGGATGAAATTAGGAGCCATTTTGGGGAAAATATTGTTCGTTTTATTTTAAATTGTGATGATTTAATTCACAATTACGCAAAAACTACTCATTTCCAAAAATTTACATGACATTTATTTAAAGGTCTAATTTTTCAAGAACTGATTTCATTATTTAAAAAACCTGTATAATCATTAGTCCAGGGGCAACAAAATTTCAAGTTTTTCAGGTATTATTGAAAATCGGACCTGCGTGAGTTTTTAAACATGCTTTCCTTTATTTGAGTAAAAAAAATTGAAGGTATTTTTGAGACAGCTTTGTCTCCAAATTTAAGTCTCAAGTTCCCAAAAATTAAGAGATCCGTTTGAAATTCTCAATACCTTGAGACCAACCATATTCCATCGTGGAATGTACATTTTAGGCCCAACTCCTGTGTTCAGTTCAGGCACTAGTGTTGTTCGTAAATCTACGCGCTCGAGTTCAAATTACAGAAGCGGACTAAGTGGGTTAGGAACTGGTTTCTTGCAGGTTTTTCCGTAACTTCCCTGCTTCGATTTCCACCATTGTGTCAATTAAATCACTTATCTAGAAATGCTCGTAAAGTGTAGGTTGATGATGATAAAATAATAATTAATAATAATAATAATAATAATAATAATAATAATAATAATAATAATAATACGTATTTTGTGTGTGGGCCACTTCTTCTGCTAGAC